AATGAATACAGCCTCTTGCCTCATTGCATCTGAGAGAGCAAGATGAGTCACCAGCAGCTCTACTGGAGCCATCTGAGAAAATTCAGCCAGGGTTCTTGCTACATCTACTGAAACCGGTAAGGTGTAATCTGGAAATACAGCCTCAATGTGTGCTGCCAGTTATTTCCAACAGTACACCAAGGATACAAGCTTCATTAAGTTCAACTAAGTAAACTTCCTTGAATGAGTCATTCAAGACATCTACCTTGCCACAGAAATAATGCTAGGTCTTTGTACATTAAAAAAACAAACTGTAATTAAATTTACTACCATCTGAATTCATCTAATCATAATAAAGGTCAAAATGATCTCACAGTCATGTCTTTCTCTGATACCCCATTACCTAACTCTGACTCTACCTACCATCATCATCTCTAACCATGACTCATAACAGTCTCAGTCTTCCTGCTTCATTACCCATGGTATCCTTTTAACACCAGCCACCAGAGAAACTCTCTCTGACCAAGTTACTCCTCTGCTCAAAATCCTCTCATGGCTCTATCTTGGAATAAAAGCCAAAAACCTAAAAAGGCCTATAAGGCCCTACACTACTTCATGTATCCTTCCCATACCCTCATCTGCCTCCCTTCAATCTATAAGTTTACATTTACAGTTTGAAAACATTTTTAAAGTTTAAACTAGTAATTATCGGTAATTTACTGTCTACTATGTATCTCATTAACCACTAAAACTGAATAATTTCATTTTTCACTTCAATAACACTAGAAAATTATTTCAATATACACCTGAGCTCTGATGCCTTAAGCATGTATTTTAAGACAGTATTCTACAGCTTCTGTGCTAAATTTCCTACCTAGAATACTAAAGTAGTGCTTTTCTCTTTCAACGCAGAGAGAGGATTGGGCATTCAATTTACTCCACTATGAGACTCAGAACTCTAAAGTCATGTTGTTGAAGCATTCTCCACAAAATCTCAATGGACTGCCTTAAAAATACAACCTTGAAGGAAGCAAAAATTTCTTAAGTAGCAATACTCATAAATGGAGAAAACTGATAAATTAGATGCCATTTTTAAAAAGATTTCATTTATTTTAGACAGAGGGGAAGGGAGAGAGAAAGAGAAGGAGAGAAACATTAATGTGTGGTTGCCTCCTGTGTACCCCCTACCAGGGACCTGGCCCGCAACCCAGGCAGGTACCCTGACACAGAATTGAACCACTGACCCTTTGGTTCACAGGCTTGCACTCAATCCACTGAGCCATACCAGCCAGGCAATTAGATGCCATTTAAATGAAAACTTTTATATATCAAAAAACTTTGAGAAAAGGGAAGCCACACATTGGGAAAAACGGTTGTGATACATATACCTAACAAAAGACTCATTATCAGAATATTTAAAGAATTCTTACAAAGTACAAAGTTCACAAAATTTTAAGAATGGGCAAATGTCCTGAATGCTCATTCTTAAAAAGGAATGCACTTCATAAAAAAGAATACTCAAAATGCTAATGGAAAGGTGTTTGACATAATTATCCATCAGGGAACTGCAAACTAAAACCACAATGAGATATTCCTACACATTCATCAGAATGGCTAAAATAAAAAAGAAAGTGATACAGGAGTGAACAAGGACTAGAGAAAGCAGTCACACATAACTAGAAGTGAAGGCACAATTACTTTGGAAAGCCATGTGGCTGTATCTAATAAATCTAAAAATCTTACTTATATGAGTATACACATAAAAGAAATCAGTGCATATCTATCTAAAGACACATATAGGAATATTCTTTGTAGCTTTTGCACAGTAGCCAAAAACAAATTTTAAAACTTCAAATGTCTATTATCAGGAAAATGAAATAGCTATAGTAACAACCACAAAATATAAACCTATAAATATACAGAGATATTTGGCAACATGCACATATCTCACTCAAGGCATTAATTAACTAACTGAAGCAGATACTCATTAAAAAAAAGAGTACATGCTACATGATTCCATTTAAATGAGATTCAAGAACCAGCAAAACTAACTGACAGTGACAGAGGTCAGGATAGGTAGCAGATAGTTAGGTAGATTTTTTTAATACTGAAAGTTTAATCTGGGTGGTTAGTAAAACATACATGCAAAGTAAAAAATCAATAAATAGGAAATTAAGCCTATTATAATTAAATAAAAATGTTGTTTCTCTATTGTAAAAGATGAGTTGCTCTACTACACTGTGATTAACACACATATTGAAGTTTAGGTTTGTTTCTTGCCTCAGATGGTTGGTACAGACCACAGGACTTCACTAAAGGTCTAAGCCAGGAGTGTCAAACTCATTTTCATGGGGGGGGGGGCGCCACATCAGGCTTGAGTTTGCCTTCAAAGGGCTGAAATAATTTTAGTATAAATGTAACTACTCCTTAACTGTTAAGGAGTTGAAATTACATTCAGCCCTTTGAAGGCAACTGTGAGGTGATGGGACCCCTGGTGAAACATTTTCATGAGTTTGATACCCCTGATCTAGAAAGCTTCACAACCCTATTCATGATTTTTAAGATACCAACAGAATGTTAAGATACCAACAAATAAACATCTGACTTGGATGTTTGGAATACCCTTCTTGGAGCAGCACAGACTTAACCTCTTTTTAGATACATTCAACTAGTTGATTTTATGAAATATTTAGTTATACTATGAAAGTACTAGCCTATTCTGTGAATAGGTCTATTGACAAAACATAAAAGAAACTTCTTTTTCTTTTGAAAAATAATATATTGAGTTGGCAAAAAAGTCCATTTATTATCTGTTACTAAGGAATAAAAAGGCAAATCCACTGACACACTAATCTTAAGGTTTTAAGTCTAAGAAGCACTGAGAGTGAACGAAGACTTTCAGTGGTATTTCCAAGGTTAGAGCCACACATCCTAAATGAAAATAAACAACGAATTCAGTCAACATAAATAGTGTACCTGGGGTTACATAGCTTATAGCCTAAGAGGGAATACAGACAAGAATATGGGAAATCAAAGAAATATACGGTAAGGAAAATATGGGGGAGCTAAGGAGCACATAGTATGTCTGCCCAAACCAAAATGAAAATCTAAATTTAGGCCTGAAGAATGACTACGAAGATGAGTAGGTTAAGATAACTTAAAACAGAGAGTATTGCATGTAAGAAAGTCAGGAGACAGTAGAGAAAAAGTAAACAAATTCAAACAACACCAAATACAAATGAAATGCAAAGTACTTTCAATCAACCATGTTCTACATGGCTAGAAGAGAGAACATGAGAAAATGTGAGGCAAAAGATGAAGCTGCACAGGTGAGTAATATAAAACCATGGAAGTCATTTCTGGGAGGTGATTCAAGTGGGTATAAGGAAATCAATTAGAGGTCACTTGAAGATTCCCACATAAAACATGATATGACCTGAATCAAATTAATGGCAGAAGGAACAAGAAATGATGGGTTTAAGGGTAATTAGGATGTGGAATTAACAGAATTTGGTGCAAGAATGACTGGGAAATGCAAGAAACGATGAAATCAGGGATATCATCAAGGTTTCCTATTTAGGCAAGTCTCAAAACCCAGTGGTTCCGTGGAGAGTAGTATCTCAGTGATTTGTGTGTTATCTCACAAAGCAAAAGGCACCAGTTCAATTTCCAGTCACATGCCTGGGTTGCAGGCCAGGTCCCCAGATTGGGGTATGTGAAAGGCAAATGATCAAAGTTTCTCTTGCGTTGATGTTTTTCTCTCCCTCTTTTCCTAAAAATAAATAAAATCTTAAACAAAAAAAACTATAAAAAACAAAAAACAAAACAATGGTGCCATTCTGAGACCGAAAAGCAAGAAAAATGATTTTGGTGGTGGTGGAAGTAATAGGAGGATTAGTCAAATAAAGCCGGAGGAATAAACAAAGATGCCTGAATGGCAGAGAGATATTTGGATCCCAAGCTCAAGAGAGGTGATCTAAACATATAAATATGTGAATTTCCAGGGTATGCTTAGGAATTGTGTATACAATGAGAAGAAACAGTGGGCTGAACAGAACCCCGAAGAACAGTATTTTAGGAAGAGGTAGAAAAAGGTGATTTTGCAAAGATCTTCTCCAATAGACTAGACCTGGAGTTGGCCTACAGTGGTGGGTTTACAGGTAGGTGGCTGGGATGAAGACGATTTTATTGGAAATGAGTAGATTATAGAAATTAAAGGCTATGACAGTGATTCTCCAACTTAAGTATGCATCAGAAACACACAGGACAGAGTACTGGGCTCCATCCCAGATTTTCTGATTCAGTTAAGTTTGGAGTTAGGCCTGAAAAATGTAGATTCTTTCTTCTTCTTTTTTTTTTTAATGAGGTCAGTGGGTGGGGGCAGGGTAGAGAGAGAGAAGTATAGTCAATGGAGAATAACACACAAGAGAGATACAGATGCAATCCGGAAATAACTTGTGCCTCCTATTCCCTGCTTGCAGGAACAGGTGGACACCAAGGAAAGAGGGCAGGGTTGCCTTAAAAGGAGAAAGAACGAACACCTGGGGAAACTTCAGATGAACAAGGCCCAGAATCATGAAGGGGACCCATGATTCGGGTACTGGCCTGCTCACCAAGCACTCCTGTTTGCAGGATTCTTGGTCTCCTGGGTGTGACACAAATTGAGTGAGAGAAGGAGAAGAATCCCCTGGATCATTGGCAGGTCAGTGTGAGGGTTCATCTGTCCAGGTCCCTTGGGGTGGAGGTGGGAGTGTGGATAACACCAAAGCTCATCTTAGGGTCCCACAGCAGCCTTACCCCAGAGAATGTGCATTCTTAACAAGTTCCTAGGCGATGCTGATGCTGTTGGTCACAGAACTCTACTTTGAGAACTAGCAGGCCCTTGTACTACAAAGTGATGTAGATTAGAAAATCTCCTCAGACTTCAGAAATCCCACCTCCTTTGAGGTACTGAGCAAAAATTAATTTGGTTGAATCAACTAATCAATATTTAACATGCAGAATCTATCATAAATACTTACATAACTGTGTTGTCATCCACTAAGATATCACAACCATGAGCAGGACACGAAATAGTCTGAAAAAGATTGAAATTTAAACTGTCTTCATTCAACAAATATTTACTGAATGCTTACCATTGCCAGGCACTTTGCTAGGTTATGAGATACCTCAACATTTACAGGATCTTAATTGTCCCCTTTCTATTAAAGGAAATGTATGTGCATGAATGTGTTTTATCACCATAAAGTAACAACTACTGACCTAAATTGATTTTTCAATATAAAACTTGAAAAGCAAAAGATCTGACAAAATTGCTCAACAAGTTTAGCCTGATATACACAAATGTTAATGTCCACTGAGAAAAAAAGTATCTGAACTGGACTCTTTAACTGGAATGTCAAATTATAAATAGGAAAAAAGCCTCAATTTTCTTTTAGTTGTTTAAATCTAGAAAAAAGTTCTCACTCAATTCATAATGCAGAATGCTTCACCTGTTTACATTTGTACAAGAGTCAAAACACTGTAGGAAATGCAACAAAAATTAAAATTTGAAAAATGGCATCTTTACCTGTCCCATGCCTTCCTCCATTATCTTGGTAGTTAAATATTCACTCCAACACTGCATACAAAACTTATGTCCACATTCAAGGCCAGTGAAATACTGCAACAAAAATAATATATTGACTTTTAAAAGATATTATCAGAAAAATCACTGTATTACATAGTGACTTAAAATATTAGGTCACATTTCTCACAGTGGCTGAAATGTCTGATTTGACAAGACTAGACAGGCTCCTAAATGAACTTCTATGTGCTAAGTCTAAACAAGCATATACACTGAACACAAAACAATGAGAAATGTATCTATAGTACATATTTATAAATTAAATTTTTTGAAAGACAGGTAAGTTTGTATTCAATATAATATGCCATGCATCAATAAACATGTGAAAAGATGCTCAATATCCTTAGCAACTAGCGAAATGAAAAGCAAAACCACAATGAGGCACCTGTTCATACCTACTGGGACAGGTACAATAAAAAAGACAGATAATAACAAGTGTTAATAAGCATGTGGAGAAATTGGAACCCTCATACACTGTGGTGGGAATGTAAAATGGTGCAGGAACTTTGGAAAACACTTGTGCAGTTTCTCAAATTGAACACAGAGTTACCACACGACCGAGCATTTCCACTCCTAAATCATAACCAAGAGAAACATGTCCATACAAAAACCTAAACACAAATGTTCATAGCAACAAAATATGGAACATCTATATAATGGAATGCTATTCAGTCATAAAAAGAAATAAAGTACTGATGAATACTATATAACACAAATAGACCTTGAAAATATTACAGTAAGTCAGAGAGGCCAGGCACAAAGACCACATATTGTTTGATCTCATTTATATGAAGGGTACAGAATGAGTAAATTCATAGAAAAAAAAAAGATTAGTGGTTGCCTAGGACTGAGAGGTGGGGAGAAAAAGGGAAGTGACTATAAAAGAATACATGTTTTTTTCTGGGGGTTATGAAATGTTCTAAAATTAACTGTGGCAATGGCTACACAACAGTGACTATACTTTAAATAGGGAAATTGTATGATGTGTGAATTATCTCAATAAAGCTGTTATAAAAAAACATGCCACCCTCACCACTGTGGCTTGGTTGCAGCATCATCCCCTACACTGTAAAGTTGTGGGTTCAATCCCAGCTGCAGGCCTATAGAAGCAACCAACTGATGTTTCTTCCCCATCCCACCTTCCTCTCCCTCTAAAATTAATGAAAAAATGTCCTCAGGTGAGGACAAAAATAAGCAAATAAAATACCAAATAAATATACAACAATAAATAATGCAGCTGCGTGACATGCAGCTAACTTAGAAAATAAATAAAATATTATAGAAACCAAAGGGTTTATTCAGATAAGCTAAGAAAAATAATAACATTTGGTCTAATATTATGATTTTAAATATTATTATTTGAAGGATGGCTAAATAAAGCACACTATATTTTGTAATGGGATATGAAACAAGTACTTTAGTACTAGGGTCTAGAGGACAATATTTTTAAAAGATAATTAATGGTCACCATATTTTAAGAATATTGTATGATATTTACTACTAAATCATTTAAAAATAAGTAATACAGGCTCATGGTTAAAAAAATTATTTAAGAGTATAAGTTTATTTTGAAAAATAAGTCTCCCTTATCCCATTCTTGTCCTCCTTCTCTACCCAGAAGTAATCACTATTTCCAATACTTTACATCATCTTCCAGAGATGTTCTAATGCCTACAGGTATACACAGTAAAGTACCACACTCTATTCCACATCTTAGTTTTTTTTTTAATTATTATTTAATAGATCTAATGGAGAGTTAAACTATTTTCTGCCTACTACACTAATGCATTGGTAAATATATACATCTTTTAAATCATATGACTCTATGTTAGCACAAATTTGTACAAATAAAATAAAAGGTATACACTTACAATTTGATAGATTATTACCAGGCTTCATTCAAAGAGGTTGTAGCAATTTTTAAGACAACTTGTAGCAATGTTTAAGACAACTTGGTTTCTCCCGCACATCAACAAAGTATACTAGTGCCTCCTTAATCTTTGCCAATGGAACAGATAAAAATGAATCAACTTCATTAAACTTTAATTTAGTTATGATAAAGTTTAAACATTTGAAAAGAGATTTAAAGTTATTTTTTTCTGTGCCCTCTCTTTAGCTATTTTGTCCATTTTTCTATGAGGTTTTTCTTAATGATTTGGTGGGGATTTTTACTGATTGAGAAAACTGACCATTTATAAGCATGGAAAAGTTGTTTTCTTCCAGTTTCAATTCTGAATATTCATATTTTCTTGCCATGCAAAAACTCTTTATTTTGTAGCAAAATGTATTTGTTTTAAAATTTATGGCTTCTAAATTAATTAACTGTGATATCAGGAGTCAAGTAGAAATCTAAGTTTCCACCCTAGATATCTATTGAATTATTCCTATACACCACTCACTGAATAATCCATGTGATCTGAAATGTCTTCTCTATAATACACTAAATTCTTTCTATTAAATAATGCATATTTAACTCTGTACTTTCCACTGCACTATCTACTCTTGCATTTGGTAAGGCTAATTTTCCCCCATCCCCATCAATCTCTCTTCCTTTCCAATATTTTACTATTATTACATCTTTCCAAATTTTCAAGTCATCCTTTTATTTCCCATAGTATTTAGTTTTCTTCATATGGAGTTTTCACATTTCTTGCCATGTTTATTTCTAGCTTTTATTCTTTCTGTGGCTCTTATAAGTGGTATTTTTTATTCCATTCCATTTTTTAACCCTTTGTCCAATTTATTTGTTGACAATCTCCATCACACATTTTCTAATTAGCTATTATTTGAACTATGATTATGAAATTTTCTGATGTTGCTTATATTAGATGCAAATAATCAGAATATGAAATTCTGTATTATACAGCACATCAACTACATAAAAAATGCCTGGAAGCAACTGTGGAAGAAAATGTACACAAGTCCTGAGACTGGTTTTATAGACTGAAGGAAATGAAAAGTATTTAACATGTTTAAAATACAGTGCTATTCAGACTGACAATGATCTAACTCATTCAAAAACCAAGTGAAGGCAGTTCTTTTGGTCATTTGTTTTCGTGCTGCCACAGTGTCCTGGCTGATGCTCCCCCAAGAAAATAAACAAAAGTCCCCCCCTGCCCTCCACCCCTCAAAAAGAGGCAAACACCAGGTTCTTATTAGATCATGCTCCAAAGTCATCTTCTGGTTTCTAGCCATGATGATAGCAAGGTTACGTTGGTGAATTTGAAATCACTGATGATCACGGAGCTGGGAAAACTGCTGTGAACCTCATGGGCAGGCTCAACAAGTGTCTAGTGATCAGCTCCTGATTTGATGTGTAACTCGAAGATTTAGAAAAACAGCAGAACAAACTGCTCCCATCTAGTCAGTGTGGTTTCATTGTACTGAGAACCTCAGCAGACATCATGGATCATGAAGAAGCGAGAAAAAAACACACAGGAGAGAAAATTCTGGGATTCTTTTTCTAGAGATGTAATACGTGCATGTAAATAAAATACTTCAATGGATAAAAAAAACAAGTGAAGGTATATACTTGGGAAATCAATGTTCTCATCTATACAAAAAAGATCTGGGAAATAAAAGAATATATTCTTATTACTCTCCATCAGTGAAGGAGATCTAGCACTAACTTGTTAGCAGATCAGATGAAAAGTATTTGATTTTCAAGACTATAATGAGAAAGGGTATTCTGTAAAGGACAAAATAAGTAGGGTAATATTATTAACAAATTTAAAATGTTTTATTCACAATTTTAAAACATACACATTCTCATGTGCTTTATTCTCTTTTTCAAATAAGAATTCTTAAGACTTTGTGAGATTAAAGGTCACAGTGTTTACTAAGTGATAACTACAAAGTGATAACTACAGGCAGTATTTCTACCTTTGGGACTTCATACCAGGGCCCATATAAGATCAAAAGATACAAAGAAAGCTTTTTATTCTTTAAAGACATCGTTCCAAAACTTTTCTAGTTACATAGGTAAGACTAAGATAAATATGAAAAATAAATCACATACACACATCTAAAGGTAAAACAAAAGCTAAATTGTGGTATAAAGATATATTCATTGTGCTCAAGAGTTATATCATTATCATGGGTATATCTGAGTATCCTCCTGTCTGTCTCATTACTCTTTCCCTCCTAACCCTTTGACACACTAGTCCCTTACTAATTTATCCTTACTTACGTAATTCCCTGGGCCTTTCTGTAACTCTGGGGATCAATAATTTTTTTTTTAAATTTTATTTAGTTACTTTTCAAGTACATTTTTTTTCTCTTCCCCCCCCCCGCCCGGTCTCCCCCCTCCCTCCCATTCCCCCCCCCCAGTCCTCATCTCTGTGTCTTTCATACTTGTTCCTCAAAATCCCTCCCCCTTTTTCCCCTTAAGTTCCCTTCCCTCTCCCCTCTGGTCGCTGCCCACTTGTTCTCTATGTCAGCGTCTTTGTTTTTATTCTGTTTGCTTGTTTGTTTTATTCTTTAGCTTCCTGTCAAAGGTGAGATCATATGGTATTTGTCCTTCAATGCCTGGCCTATTTAGGGGATCAATAATTTTTTTAAATCAACCTTATCTCTGTTTATTTCTTAAATAAATATTTCCAAGAATACAGTAAAAATATATGAATATATGAAATATTGCCTACCACAAAAATGAATGGTCCTGAAGAAAAAGAACTAAAGAACAATACACACTCTTAAAGGTTTCATTTATCTCCATCATTTCATACACAGCAACTAATATCAAACCACCTTAAGAACATTAAGAATTATTTTCCTAAAGTTGAGGCCGTTTTCTTTCTGAAAACAGAGCAAATAATCGGAATATTAGTTCCTTCTTCTATAAAATGGAATGAGTTCAAAGGAAGATAGGGTTGGACTTAGATCACATGTTTTCAGTGTACTCAGGAGAAAAAGAACCAGAAGTGCTCAGGTGGGGGGGGTGGAGGGTAGGTTACCCTCACAATCTTCAACTTTGCCTTTATCTAACAAATCTTATTTTTAGAAAAAGAATGAGATACTGTAATCCAAGTTATCTATTGAATATATTTTCTAGTAGAATGAGGGATTAGTACAGCTAGATTTTACTGAATTGATTTATTATAAAGTTGCCATGCAGGGTGGGGGAGTTGGGGTGGGAAGAGAGAATCCATCAACTTCATAGGTGCTCCACAGTCTCAGGTAATTGTTTTGACTACCCAAGAGAGTTACCTCCAAAGTGTTATATATAAATCAAGCTATCAGAAGCATTTAGTTTTGTCACATGTTTTTATGTGATGAAGTCACATAAAATTGCTTTCTAGACAGATAAATGGGAAGACATACATTAATAAAATGCAAGTATTGGTGTTTGAACACAGTAGTGGAAATGGAAACATGAAGAGCTATACAAGAAAAGAAATTGCCCACCCAATTAATAAAGCTTGGAAGAAGAATCTCAGGTGACATTTCATTCTAAAATTGAAGAGGTTAAAATTATCCTTCTATAGTAGTCTAAAAACTATGAGAAAAGAAGCCCTAGTTTTACCATGATTATTATATTTTTATAATGCTAGCAGCTTCCATAACTCTTTAACTTACTTTCCAACCATGTTGCTATTGGCTTTCTTGTCCTGCCACTTAATAGCCAAACTTTCTTTAAAAGAATAACTTGCTATATTTACCACCTCTACTTCCTTTCCAACCTTCAAGTCAATGACCCTTCAGTCAATGCGGTATGGTTTTACATCTTACCACATTACTAAAAATAACTTCCCAAACTCATCAGTAAGTTTCATGTTAATTTCAAATTTACTTTTTAGTTATTTCACTGAAGCGTTTAGCACTGTTTACTATTCTTGGAAGTATATTCTCTTCCTGGCTTCTGTATTGCTTGCTGCCTTTTCCTAACTACCAGAGGCATTGGTGGTATAGTGATGAACGTGACTGCCTTCCTAACTACCACAACTTCAGAGCTTAGTTCAAATGTCATCCCTTTGTGAAGTCTTCTGTGATCCAAAATGAGATCAGGGGGCTCTCTCCAACTTGTTCCCACAGTAGCATGCCTTATTAAAGCGCTTATCATTCTTTCTAATATAGCGTTTTACTTATCTGCCCAACTAAACTTTATATCATCTGAAACAGGCATAACTGTATCCTCCACTGCGTTTATACACTAGAATAGATCGGTAGGTAGGTAGGTAGGAAGGAAGGCAGGCTGAGTTCTCAGTTATCGGTTACAAGTGGAGGTGAAATTTACATTGCAAATCTCCAGCCATGATTTTCAGTTGTAATTGTCTGACAGTGTTAGACAATACCAAAGGCACCAAGAAAGTTAAAATGGATATTTATAAGCACATACCTTCAATACTCACATTCCATTAAAGATTTAAACTAAGGAGAAACTGGCTATAATAGAGTAAAAGGACAAATGCCAAGGAGTAAGGAAACTTTGTATAACCTGGGACAAATTATTTGAGTGTGTTACTCCACAGACACTTTTAAACTTTAAACAGTATATAAATGTCAACTGGCAAAGAGAATCTGTTAAAGAAGGATGATAAAATGGTCAAAACATAAATTTAATATATTTTTAATAGTAGTGCTAAGTGCTTTTAATATTCAAGGTAGGGTTGTGATTTAAGAAAAGGGAATACATATTCCTTAAAGGGAAAAGAATATCTTATTCAACTCATTTGAAAGATAAAACTGAACCTCAATGAGACTAAACAACTTTCTACTCAAAGTCAAATACCTACTGTCAGAACTATGGTCAAAATTTTGAACTTGGAAATTCAATTCAGCACTTTATCAACGAAATTATTTTAACACATGAGTTCTCAATTTTCTAAAAGTTCTCAATTAATTTTCTTTTAAAACCTCTTTTCTAAACATTTGTAAAGAAAACAAAACAAAACACTGGTTCCCTACAAATGAGCCTCCTCATAAACATATAAAACTCTATACAATATTAGAAATGCTTCTCTATTAAAGCAGAGAATATAAACAAAATAGTTATAATTATTGTAGAATTAAGTGATTTTTTAGATATCTTCAAAAACCTTAACAGGTAAATTCCAAGTAACTAAATATATCTTTGCCACAATCCTATTTTCCCAAGGTTATTAATAAAGTACAACCTTCATAGGAAGATTATGTTTATTTAAGCTTAAAACTACTATATGCTCTAAAGTCAATCATCTAAATTCAACAGATTTTAAGCATATTTTTACTTAGGAGAAACATCAATTACTTAGTCCTAATATGGCTCCAACTCTGTCACCCCTTGCTTTATTTAAGAGCCTCCATTAGAATGGATCTGCATAAGTGAAAATCTTTTGTTATGAAAGCTCCTTAGTGAAATAGCATTAGAGACATTTTATATGTGTTCTGGATATATATTTTATTTTATTTACTTTGTTTATTTTTTTACTGACTGATTTGAGAGAGAGTGAGAGAGGCAGTGAAGGAGGGAAAGAGGGAGGGAGAAGGAGAGCGAGAAACATCTATTCGTTATTTCATTTATTTATGCATTCATTGGTTGATTCTTGTATGTGCTCTGAGGATCAAACCTGCAACCTTGGGCATATCTGGTCTGGAAGATGCTCTAACCGACTGAGCTACTCGACCAAGGCTGGATATATATTTTTTTAAAAATTTAGTTTTAAATCTGTTTTAATTTGGATGAAAAATAATTCTTACTGCCTATCTATTACACAATTCTTCCATGGTAGTAAAATAAATTCAGAAAAGATTCAGATGTACAATGATAACTTAAATAAATTGCTGCTTTAAAAAACAAAGGGAGAGATGGGGGCTAAAACTCCTATTCTTCCTCTTTCTTTCCTCATCCCTAATGTATTAATAGGTTACTGCTTGATACAATCCCAGACTCCCATATCCTTCTTTGTTTAAGTTATAAAAGCTGATTTACCCTCTGAAATACAGTCAGTGCTAGCCTTAAACTACCAGATACTCACCGAGTTAGGGTAGTTCAAGTAGCAGATCTGACAAGGCATATCCTGTGCTGATGACCTTGTATTCATCTGGCGTGTTCGAGACTTTTTACTTGGATTAATTACATGACACTCAGCAAAGAGCTTCTCCAGGTTTCCATCAAAGTACCTGCATTATTTAAACAGAAAGGATGAGAGCCCAGCAATAGCACACTGTTAGAGCTCTCCAAAAACCTGATTTTCTACAGGGAAAACCAATGAACTAAATTAAAGTAAACCAAGATTATAATCTTTTCTGCTCAGAGGAAATGAGCTATGTGGCTACTGTAGCAAATGGAGGAATGTAAGTATGAAAGCAGATTGAGTTTTTGTTGCTATTTGGTATTTCTTTGCATTTATCCTGGGAAGTTAAGCTATTAGTATTTTAACAATACTACAACTAAAACTTAAGCATGAATGTTGTACTATCTTTAGTGATACCTTACAAGAAGTAATGCTATTTTATTTTAAAAGGCTAGGATATATTTTTTACAAATCATTTTATTAATAATCTTAATTATACCAACTTAAATATATTTGCAAGTAAAACACCAAGCACAGCTTCCCCAACAAATTTAAAAAATGAAATTTTTTACAGGACTGTCATTTTATAAAAGACTTGCTTTCTAAATACTTATTGAAATGCTTTTTAACCTACTAGAAAAGGGGAGAAAATAAGTATATCTTAAAATGTTTCTCTATCAAATAATCTATATATCAGCTTTTCATAAAACACATATCTAAATGTACAGAGGTAGTTCACTATTTAAGATATCAAGAAGCATGACACGCCAAGTACTACCTACAGTTTCAAGTAAACTACAGCTGACTGGACAGAAGATAGTGATAAATACTTAGCACAATATGTCCCATTAAATCAGCCAGGACGTGGTCTCTGTTCTCCTTAGTATTTTAATATTCTAAAGGGAATGCAACAGGATAAAAAACAACCACCACCACCTTTCAATCTGTAAATGAATATAACCAACAAAACTATTAACATGGAATCTGGTCATATTTTTTAACTTGTAAAAATTAGGTTTCAATAACTACAATGTTTCTTACAAACAGAAAGTTCTGAGGTTTAAAAAAAAAATCAATGCTCAAGAGATTTCCAATACTTTTAATAAAGATCTTGTTCAGGGTTTGTGTCAAAACACTTACTATGTCTCCAGAAAAGAAATCATTCAAATGGGAACACTCCTAAGACTAATACATATATATTTTTTTTAATTTTATTTATTTATCTTTAGAGGGGAAGGGAAGGAGAGAGGGAGAAAAATATCAATGTATGGTTGTCTCTCATGCATCCCCTGCTGGGAACTGGCCTGTAACCCAGGCATGTGCCCTGAATGGGAAGTGAACTGCAATCCTTGGGTTCCGCAGGCCGGCTCAATCCACTGAGCTACACCAGCCAGGGTTCTAATACATATCTTTTTATAAATACATACTTTGACTACAGTATGTTTCAATAAAATGATCAAGTTATCAATCAAGATGTCAACATTATAAAAGGGGCACTCATATATAGTTAAAGTTGTTTCTGATGATTCAACTAATCAAAGTATACAGAGCAGCACTGACTGGTGTGGCATAGTCCTGCAAAGCGAAAGATCACTAATTCAATTCCCAGTCCGGGCACATGTCTGAGTTGCAGGTTCAATCCCTGGTTAGGGAAAGGCAACCAATTGATGTCCCTCACACCCATGTTTCTCTTCCTCTCTTTCTCCCTCCCTTCCCCTCTCTCTAAAAACAAATAATCTTAAAAAAAAAAAAAAAGGAACAGAATGTCAATGCTTTCCTACAAATTTCATCTCTGAGAAAGCCTAAGATGCTTCATTTTATTTAAATAGATAGCATATGAAGCTAACACTAAATATAAATATGTAAACAAATTAAACACCTTAAAGAAAAATACTCATGCTCACAAGTCAAGACAAACTTCTGTCATGTCAAAACTTGACTATACAAAATCAGTGGCTCTTAATAATTTAGTAAAAATTCTAGACAGCAATCCATGCATACATAGCAAAATAGACACGTGCCCAGAATTTTGTAAAAAACAATGCTGTCTTCTAGATTTATAACTTACTTTCTTTACTAAACAATATTAATGGGCATCTTTGTTAATGAACACTGGTCCACATTGTTTTTCATTGTTGCATAATATTTTATGGTAATATACTACGTACTTTAATTCCATGTACTATAATTTACTTAAACATTATACTGAGGGACATTCAGCTGTTCCACATATAAACAACCCAAGATTAGAATCTTGGCCCATCTAATGGGGGAAAACACATATAGACTTAACTTGCATTTCTTTATTAGTGAGGCTGAACATACTTTTTTTGGTGAAGATCATACTAGTATTTTAGGAGTTCAGTATGTAAAATAGGAAGAGTAACCCTTTGTCTTATAGTTTGCTTTCATCCCTGTCTACTAGACAGTTTCTAACCTGTCTACTTTTTTAAAGGTGCTTAATTGGCACATAACTTTTATATAGATAAATTATCTTGTGACCCATTATGATTTCTGAGTTTTATATCAAGCTTTAAAAGATTTCTAAACCCAAAGATTATAAAATTTTATCCATGGTTTAGGCCTTTCCTTTGTTTCTATTAAAACTACTGGTTCATATGGAAATTTCTTTTGTGTAGTAAGGAGCAAAGCAAGGATTATATTTCATTTTAATCTAAACAGCTAACAATTTTACTCAAACGTGTTTCTTCTACCTGTAGTTCTCAGCTTAAACTTCACATAAATCTTCTTTGACAGTGCTTCCTAACCCCCCAACCCCCAATTAGGTAAGGTTCCCTAGTGTTACATTTTCTTGGTACTTTGTACTTCTGCCAACGCATTACTAACTCTGCGGTCACTATTTATTCTAAGCTTTCTCTGCTAGAATGTAAACCTCATAGGAGCTATTTTATTATTGTTATAGTCATAGGTCTAGGAGAATATTATATAAGCATTCAATTTCTTTTTAGAAAGTAATAAGAGTAACTTCTTAAAGATATGATAGCAATAAATCTGAATTCCTTTGTTTTAGACATATTTCTTAAAGACAGTATACATTGGAGTTTACAACTTTTTGATCCATTCTAGAAGCTACCAAAGAATTTTCTAATACTGTCCTGATAAACAGAATGGGGAGTTTGAAATCCACTCATATTACTAGGCATAGCAGGCCTACAAATCTTTTTTATTAGAGTAAGTACCATTTTTACAAGAAATATAACATTTAAAAATTTTTTTGTTTTGCTTTTATTTTTACTACATGATCTGTCCATCAATGACTCTGTAATAGTTATATGGAAGATAATGAAACCTAATGTATTTTTATGAAACATAATACAATCAATACTTAAACCTATTTCTTGGTTTGTCAACTTTAAATAATACACTGATTGTCCTTGTAGTAAATGACCATACAGTTAACCCTAGAGTTTTGAATGAAAACTACCTGGACCTTTTCCCAGTTGATTATAATTTTATATAATTTTTTCACTAATTACATTACTGATTATCTTAATTAGACACAATTCGAACGTTTAAATGTACTGAAACACTCACTTTGCCCAACCCCCTACCCCCACCACCATGTCCTCCCATCAATATTCTCTGTGTTCACAGCATCCATTTTCTTGTGGTACCTGCTGTTACTGAAGTTTGCGGTCAAAATAATTTCCATCTATAATTCAAATCCTTTTTCAACTGGCACATATATAGGTTTCTTTCTTCATTCTTGAAGTTTTTAGTAGTTTCATAGGGCCTATCTTAGCATTTAGCTTTCTCTTTTGAAATGCCATTCAGATCTTAATTGCTTCAAGATCCTTTAGTTATTAAGACTGTATCCTGTTTGACTTATACCCAACGAAGTCTTTGTTAATTTGTCCTATGCGTCTCCCATCTGCTAATTCTTTGTCCTTTTCCTGTCTTACATGTCTGTTTTTCGTATTATCTGTTCTATTTCTTGATGGTGCCAATGTGGTTTTAGGTTCTGTGAGATTATTTCTTGTTCCTTCAATCTTTTTTTTTTAAGTTCTGTGAACTTAAAAAAAGTGAACTTTCTTTTTGACAGTCCTGTGTTATCAGTTCATCTTTAATCCCTCATCTCTACTGTCTCTGTTTAATTTCCTTAAGAGAACAAGAAGCACCCCCTCCTCAATTATGATAGTGTTATTAAGGACTACTACTACGCTCAAGAACACGAGTGGATTCTTAACTTTCCATACATTGTTTACCTTGTCACTATTTGAAGTTCTTTCAGTTTGCTGGCTTTTATGTATAACCTTGCTTCTGAAAAACAGGCCAAAATGAAGAGACTGGACTGATTCAGTGTGAAACACTACAGTTTAAGTATCTTGTCTAAAGAGCTAACACACTTTTTTCTCTGCTTCACTGACTTTGGTATACAGCAGCAAAACATATACTGGGACATTGCTTCCCTCATTTCCTGCAACCCTTGCCCATTCTTCTGAGAAAACCATATTGATGAAAATAAAAAATAACACTTTTTTCCTTCAATCCAGTTATTAATCAGTGGGGCATGGGCACCATTAGAATTTCCTCACCCTAGTTCTCAGATGGCCTACATATCACAGCAGAGATTATAAATACTCTTTTCTAAGATTCTTTCTGTTCAGTTAGCATGTTTACAGAGATATAGTTAAACAAACTAGCACTTAATCAGCGAACTCTGAAGATTATCTAGAACTTAACTTTTCATTTTTTGACTGCTAGACAGATATATACCAAATAATATACATTAAATTTCAAGGCATGAACAGTTAGTTACAGTCTAGAAACTATGTTTGTGGGGAGGGAAAAGTGGTTGAAATGATACATCACTGGCTAGTATTTCTTTTTTTTTTTTAATTCTGAATGATTGTAGAATCCCTGTTTGCATGGAAATCAAAAGTTACTTTTGCCATGAGGAAAAAAAATTTTTTTAGAGGGAGTACAGGGAGGGAGAGAGAGAAACATCAATTGGTTGTCTCTCACACAAGCCCCAAATGGGGACTGGGCCACAACCCCAGGCATGTGCCCTGATTGCCAATGGAATCAGTGACCTTTGCTTTGTAGTAGTAGAATGCCCAACCAACTGAGCCACATTGTTCAGGG